TCCCAAGCCAGCTCTTACCCATCGCGACACTCAGCCGGCCCTCCATGTACTTTTCTTTAAATTGAGGCTATTTGTAACTTATCAACTCAAGTTCTTGCCTCAGGACTCTTTCAGGAGGGTGGAGTTCGGAACCTCCAGCTCTTCACTCACAAGTCCCCTCTGGAATATTCTGATCATTTCCTTGGCCCAACATTTACTTTAAGGTGCTGCAAACTCTCTAGGAGGCCATTTTCATCCTGAAAATACAGCAAATTTCAGAAGGCACCCTCCTAGTCTCTAGTATCCCCTACATCCTGTCCTCAATTTCTCAGTGTTATATGAGAGAGAGTTACATTTGAAATCAGATGTGAAGGCCTTAACTTGAGGCTGGAGAGGCCGCATGGGGCAGCCCTGTCCTCTGGACCAAGTGACCCTACAAATGTTTCACCTATCAACAGTGCTATGTTTATCATGCAAAGTGTCTGCAATCTGACCTCACTCTGCCCTCCATTCCCCATGGAACTTTTTAAAAAAATAGTATATCTTATTTTTTTATTAATCTACCTCAGCCAGGTGATCAAGGTCCATATCAACAGGGAAAATCATGTTGCTAGTATGTGCCCTTGGTGTGATGGGACTAGAATGACACTACCTAGTAATGCAAGCTCCAAATGGGCAGGTATTTTCATCTGTTTTGTTCATTGCTATAGTATGAACATGGAAGCAGTCCCTGAAATAAAATACATGCTTAATAAATATTTTTTGAATGATTGAATAAATGAATACAGCTGCCTTCTCATCTTTAATTGCTGCATAGTATTCCATTATATGACTATAACATATTTTTTACAGCAGACCACTACCCACAAGCATTTAGATTATTTCCAATCTTTTGCTATTGCTAAAGCCCTGCATTGAACATCTTTGTATATAGTCATTTATGAAGGTCTATCTTTAGGGTCTACTGTTAAAATTAAAATTGCTGAGTCTAAGTATGTTTCCAATTTTGATAAATATTACAAATTGCTCTCTATCTTAGATGTGGCACTAATTTAGACTCCTACCAGCAAAATATGACAGCACCTGTTTCTCCACATCCTCACCCACACAGTAGAAACTGTTAAAAATGCTGTCTCAGTGCAATTTTTTGAGTGAACATGAGTATTTTTTCCTATGTTTAAGAGTTTTTTGTGTTTCCTTTTTCTGTGAACTGTCTGTTAATGTATTTTTATCCAGTTTTCTATTGGGTTATTTGTCTTCTCACTTATGCATAAAAAGTCTTTACTTATCAACTATATTACTCCCTTATCTGTGATATGAACTGTAAATATTTTCTCCTAATATATTGTTTCACTTTTCACATTGTTTACCATGCTTTTTGTGAGGCCGAATTTTTATTTGTGTGTGGTTTAATTGGTCAGTCTGCTTTTTTGACCACTGCTCTATTATTTTTTCATTGTTCTGGAGTAACTAGGGAATGCAATTATACAATAAAAATAAATTAGACTGCATAAAGTGTGATAGGAAGGGGAAAAGACAAGTTGTCCTTCAATCTTAGTTGTGGATGGCGCAGCTAGATCAGCATCCAGTTGCCATCTGGCTGCCCTTCGGCAGCTCAGGGCAGCTTAGCTCAATCTTAATTGTAGGTGGGTGTAGCCCACCATCCCACGTGGGAGTCCAACCGACAACCTTGTTGTCAGGAGCACGTGCTCTCACCAGCTGAGCCACCCTGCCACCTGTTGGCAGCTCAGCTGCAGCTCAGCTTGGGCGCAGCTCACTGGCCCATGTGGGAATCGAACTAGCGACGTTGTTGCTCAGAGTTCGCGCTCTTAACCAACTGAGCCACTTGGCCGGCCCCACTCTCATCTTTTCTTATGTCCCTGGCTGTCTTTTGGTTTCGTATATGTATGTGCTTATTAAGATGAGGACTGAAAAATGTCCATTGAATGTAGTGACATGGATATACCGAGAACCTCAGCAACATCTCCATTTATCATCTACTATGTGCCATTCCAACCATGTTGGCCCTACCTCTTATTCTGGGACCTACTGTTGCAAGCATTTCTCTGCAGGTTTCAACCAGCTTTGAGGACTTGAAACCTGATGTGTTTTGTCTCAGGTCCACACCATGCCCCTCTTGATTCCTCTCCAGGGCATGAGAAACTCGAAGGAATGCCCTCAGGGCCTTTGCATATGCTGGAACATTCTTTTTCCGTTTTTGTGCCTTATACATGCCAACTCAACCTTAGAATCCCAGCTCAATTTTTACTTCCTCAGGGAAATATTTCCCAGTCTTCATGAATCGGTGAAATTCTCCTCTTTTTAGACTCTGACAGTATCACATACTTCTTTGTATCACAGTTGAAATCTTATAAGGTTGTGTTCAACTCATCTCTCTTTAACCCACTAGACTGTGAGCTAACTAATAAGCTGTGTATGTAATCAAATAGACTCCCCAGGCCACCATCAGCTTGGAAAGCTCAGGGAAGAGTCAGGAAGTAACTTCCAAATCTAAAAATTTTCACACTTGGACATCACATAGGCTTAGATTGGCTTAGGTGCTGAGCAATATAACATTGCCTGAGTCATCTCCCAAAGTTGCTCATGTTCCCCAGCTTCATTACCCTCTTGGTGTGCCTGTGTTTCCCAGTGTAAATGTTGAACCTTGAGATCTGTGGTGGCCTGTGTGAGAGCTGCATGTTTTCAAGCCATGAATCATCTTTTCACACATATTATCTAGACATACTCGTTTTCTATTTCTACATGACAAATAACCCCCACATTTAGAGGCTTCAAATAATATCCATTTATTAGCTTAAATTTCTGTAGGTTTGAGTTTGGCTAGGTTTGCCTGGGTTCTCTGCTCTAGGTCTCATAAGGCTAAAGTCAATGTGTTGGCCAAGCTGGACTCCTATCTCAAGGCTCTGAATAAGGATCCATTTCCAAGTTCATTCAGGTCATCAGTCAGCTTTAGTTCTTTGTGGTTGTAAATGGGATGGGGGAGAAGTTCCTTGCTAGCTGTCAGCAGGAAGCCACTCTCAGCTTCTAAAGATTGCCTTCATTCCTTGTTGGTGGCCCCCTCCATCTTCAAGTCAGCAATAGTGCATCAAATTTTTCTCCTGCTTCCAATCTCTCTGACTCTCCCTTCTGCTAATACCTGGAGAAAACTCTCTGCTTTTAAAGGTGTACATGATTAGATTACATAATCTCCTTTTTGGCACATAATGTAACATAATTACAGGAGTAATACCAGGGGGCAAAAGTCATAGGGGCCATCTTAAAATTCTGCCTACTACACCAGGTAAAATAGGGCTTTCTTTTAGTAAAAGTTAAATATTAAGCAGCAGTGCCTACCTAGTGCTGTAGTTGAAAATAGCTAAAAGTAACTGAAAATGCCTGGAAGTTCTACTCTACTTTAATTTTCATCTCATAAGGAGGTGGCTTTTTTTCTTGTCTGTCATAAATGGGCAATAATTATTGCCCCTAAGAATAATGAACATCCATATAAAAATCTTTTATAATATAGTAAGGGTATGACAGAGGCTGTTAGTTCACTAAACCTAAATTATAGGATAATTTAGAAGAAAGCATTTACCTGGCTTAACTTACAATAAGAACATGAGTTGGGCTATATTTCTTTAAAAAATATAGCTTAGTAAAGGTTGGTCTCCATACCCAGTAAGATAAGGTTTTGAGAGTTCTTTTGAACATAACCCTTCATCAAACCAACCACATTAATCTATTAGGTTTTCAGAAAAGTCATGACATATTTTTTCTATATTTTTCGTTGCACAAATGCGTCATGACTTTTCCAACAACCCAATATTTATTGCATTGTATAATTACCAAAAGAAATATGGTTAGCCCTCTATCAAGAAAGAGGCACAGAAAGTGAGGCATGCTACTAAGTGTTACAGAAGATGCATACAAATATAAAATACCATGTCTTCCCTACAAAAGTTTACAATATTAACAAAAGAATAGCTATTGATGCCAATGTTTGTATGATAAGGTACATATGAGTGGTAGCCATTCCACAATAATATTTTTTAGTGCTGTCTACATTTGAGGCATTGTTCTGGCAGGAAGATTTCAAAATGAGATTGTGTAGTATAATGGTTAGTGGTTAAAAACAGGATGTTGGAATCAGATTGACTCAAGTCCCAGCTCTGCAATGTATCATCCTTCTGAAAGTTGCTTAAGTCCCTGGGTTTGTTTCTTCACCTACAAAATATGGATAATAATAAAACCTATCTCACTATGTTGCTGCAAGCATTAGTATGGATGAGAAAATGTTTGTTTGGCACAATAACTGATACTTTGTTGTTTTTGTTATCAACAGAAGGTGTCCACTTTCCTGTCATGCAAGGAGATCAGAGAACTTGATACGTACCACCATAAAGGTATAGAAAAATTATGGGAAATACCAATAAGAGATATGGTTGTGTAGATAAGGTAGAGATGACTCTGGCTTGGAGATCATGAATGACACTGTAATAGAAGCTGGATCTGAACTCTCCTTGGAACTGGCCAAAGTTTCATCAGGAGTTAATAGGTTGAAACTATAGCTAAGAGGTCTGACAATTAAGTTCGCAAACTTGCCACCATGAGCTTACATTGGCAGCACTGTACAAACAGCTCGGTAAGGTTTCATACCCTTGAGATAGCAGTGTCTCACAGCTGTGTTCATGTCAATGTGTGCCGCTATCTTGCTAAGTGGTGTTCATTATTGTTGTGTGTTTTTGTGTGTCTTCACAAGAATGCCTGAGCTTGAAATAGAGCAATGAACAAACATTAAATTTCTTGTTAAACTTGGCAAGAGTGGAAGTGAAATCAGGGAACTATTGGTCCAAGTTTATGAGGATAATGCCATGAAGAAAACGGCAGTGTACAAATGGATTAAACGTTTTTCTGAGGGAACAGAATGCATCACTGATGAAGGGAGGTCAGGGCAGTCAGTAACGAGCAGAACTACAAAAACATTGCAAAAAATCGTCAAATTTTTAATCAAAATCGTCGGCTGACTGTGAGAAGCATAGCAGACCAAGTAAACATCCATAGAGAAACAGTAAGGAAACTCTTAGCTGAAAATCTTGGCATGAGAAAGGTGTATGCAAAAATGGTCCCGAAAAAGCTCACCAATGAACAAAAGCAAAAGAGAGTTGAAGTTTGCCAAGACCTTTTGGAGAGGCAAGACGATGTTTTGGGCCATGTTATCACTGGTGGTGAAACATGAGTGTACCAATACGACCCTGAAACAAAGCATCAAGGTGCACAATGGAAGTCAGCCAATTCTCCATGACCAAAAAAGTTTCGTCAGTACAGATCAAGAGTCAAAACGATGTTGCTAACCTTTTTTGATATCAGAGGGATTATTCATTATTAATTTGTACCAACGAGACAAGCAGTTAACCAAATTTACTATTTGGAAGTGCTGAAAATGCTGCGTGAAAAAGAACGAAAATGACCTGAACTTTTCACCAACAATTCATGGCTCTTGCATCACAACAATGCACCAGCTCACACGGTACTGTCTGTGAGGGAGTTTTGAGCCACTAAACAAATAACTGTATTGGAACACCCTCCCTGCTCACCTGATCTGGCCCCCAGTGACTTCTTTCTTTATCCAAAGGTCAAGGAAATATTGAAAGGAAGACATTTTGATGACATTCAGGACATCAAGGGTAATCCGATGACAGCTCTAATGGCCATTCCAGAAAAAGAGTTCCAAAATTGCCTTGAAGGGTGGACTAGGCACTGGCGTCTGTTCATAGCTTCCCAAGGGGAGGACTTCGAAGGTGAACGTAGTGATACTTAGCAATGAGGCATGTAGCACTTGTCTAGATGAGTTTGCGAACTTAATTGTCAGACCTATATGTAGCTTGCTGTGCTTTAGCTCTGGCATGAACCATAGCCATGGTCCAGCATCAGCCCCATTATTTTGAGGGGGCATCTTGATGAATGCCCCTGCAAAAGCTTCCCAGGTTTTCTTATCATCGTAATCTCAGATAGTTCCATCTTCAACTTCTTTTAGCACAATGAAGCTGAACACAGTGAAAGCTTAAAATCATTCTGAACATACTTTAATGCAACTTATTTAATTGTTAAAAGAACTCACACTTCAAAACTCATACAAAGTGTGGTGAAACACTGTTGATTGCATCATTAAATACCTGGCAAATATCACTCCTCTAATATTGTGCCTCCACTTTTGATTTTCCTTAGGTAAATATGACCCTTCAGTGTTTGCTTCTGACTTGCGTTTTCCTGCTAATTTCTGATTCCTGTGAGCTCTTCGCTGAAGCAGATTATTCTAGAAGGTCTCCTTGCGATGAGACAAGACAAAATGCTTCTGTTATTGCACAGTGCAACAATCGTAAACTGGATAAAGTTCCCCACGAAGTAGGCAAATATGTGACAGAACTAGACCTGTCTGATAATTTAATCACATGCATAACAAATGAATCATTTCGAGGGCTGGAAAATCTTACTAAAATAAATCTAAACCACAACGTCGTGGTACAGCCCTACATTCAAAATCGTTATATAAATAAAAAAGGCATGAATATCACAGATGGGGCATTCCTTAACCTCCCACACCTAACGGAGTTACTGCTTGAAGACAACCAGTTAAACAGAATACCTGCAAATTTGCCAGGGAATTTGAAAACACTTAGTCTAATTAAAAACAACATAATGTGTGTAACTAAAAATAATACTTCTGGACTTAAGAAACTGGAAACTCTCTATTTGAGCTGCAACTGCTTATTTGGCAATGCTTGTGATGGAGCATTTGAAGAGATGACAAATTTGAAGGTGCTGTCACTATCTTTTAATAACCTTTCCCAAGTGCCACACAACCTGCCACGCTCCCTCACAAACCTGTATCTTAGCAACGCCAATATCCATACCATCTATAAAGGAGACTTCGAGCAATTGGAAAATTTGAGAGTACTAGATTTAAGCGGGAACTGTCCAAAGTGTTTCAACGCCCCATTTCCCTGCATACCTTGTCCAGGAGACAAGTCAATTGATATAAATAAAGATGCTTTTCAAATCCTGACCAACCTTCAAGTCCTGAACCTCTCCAGCACTTCCCTCCGCAAGATTCCTGCAAGCTGGTTTGAGAATATGACTTGTCTAAAGGAGCTGTATCTTGAATTCAACTATTTAGCACAAGAAATAATGTCTGGGGACTTTTTAGCAAAACTGCCATCCTTAGAAATACTGGACTTATCTTTTAACTATATAAAGGGAGAATATCCAGCACATATTAATATTTCCTCAAACTTCGCTAATCTTACGAGTCTCCGGGAATTGCACTTAAGAGGTTATGTGTTTCAAGAACTTAAGCAGAAAGATTTGGAGCCCCTGACAAACCTCTCCAATTTAACGACTATCAACTTGGGCGTTAACTTTATTAAGCAAATCGATTTTACCTTTTTCCAATACCATCCCAACCTGAAGGTCATTTACTTGTCATTAAACAGAATATCGCCCTTGGTAAATGGTATTAGGCAATATGAGGCAAAGGACTCCACTGGCCAAGGTCATATCCGTAAGCCACGTTCAGCAGATAATGACTTTAACCCACATTTGAATTTTTATCATAGCACCAATCCTTTAATAAAGCCACAATGTAGCGCTTATGGCAAAGCCTTAGATTTAAGCTTGAACAGTATTTTCTTTATTGGGCAAAAGCAATTTGAAGCTTTTCCTAACATTACCTGCTTAAATCTGTCTTCAAATAACAATGGTCAAGCATTAAATGGAACTGAATTTTTAGCTGTGCCTTATGTCAAATATTTGGATTTGTCAAACAATAAACTAGACTTTGATAGTGATATGGCTTTCAATGAATTGCATGAATTAGAAGTTCTAGATCTCAGCGACAATGCACACTATTTTGAAATAGCAGGGGTAACGCACCGTCTAGGATTTATTGAAAATTTAACAAAGCTAAAGACTTTAAACCTGAGCCGCAACAACATTTATACTTTAACAGAGTACAATCTGAGTAGTGTGTCCCTGCAAGAATTAGTTTTCAGTGGCAACCGCCTTGATAAATTGTGGCATGTTGAGGATAACAGGTACAAGACCATTTTTAAAGGTCTCAGGAACCTGACACGGCTTGATTTATCCTTTAATAACCTGAAGAGTATTCCAGATGAAGCTTTTGTTAACTTGCCCCAGAATCTCACTGAACTGTATATAAATAATAATTACTTATGTTTCTTTAACTGGTCATTACTCCATCCGTTTGTTCATCTCAACTTGCTTGACTTAAGTAGAAACCATCTCTATTTTTTAACTTATAGCCTATCTAAATTCACACCTTCTCTTCAGACGCTGCTACTGAGTCATAACCGTCTTACCCACCTGCCTCCTGGTTTTCTTTCTGAAGCCAGAAATCTGGTACACTTTGATCTCAGTTTCAACAAGCTACAGACAATCAACAGATCCACATTTGAAACTCAGAACATCACCAAGTTAGCCATTTTGGAACTACATAGCAACCCTTTGGACTGTACCTGTGACCTAGGAGATTTTCGAAGATGGATGGATGAAAACCTGCAAGTCGCAATTCCTAGACTGACAGAGGTCACTTGTGCCAGTCCTGGGGCTCAAAAAGGGAAGAGTATTATGATGCTAGAGCTAAACACCTGTGTTTCAGACACCATCGCGGCCATATTATGTTTCTTCACATCCTTTGTCACCATCATGGTTATGTTGGCTGCCCTGGGTCACCATTGGTTTTACTGGGATATTTGGTTTATCTATCAAGTGTGTTTAGCTAAGGTGAAAGGCTATAAGTCTCTTTCCACATCCCAAACTTTCTATGATGCTTACGTTTCTTATGACACCAAAGATGCCTCTGTTACAGACTGGGTAATAAATGAGCTGCGCTTTCACCTAGAAGAGAGTGAAGAAAAAAATGTGCTCCTGTGTTTGGAGGAGAGGGATTGGGACCCGGGATTAGCTGTCATTGATAACCTCATGCAGAGCATCAACCAAAGCAAAAAAACAATATTCGTTTTAACCAAAAAATATGCAATAAGCTGGAGCTTTAAAACCGCCTTCTACTTGGCCTTGCAGAGGCTAATGGATGAGAATATGGATGTGATTGTATTTATTCTGCTAGAGCCAGTGTTACAGCATTCTCAGTATCTGAGGCTGCGACAGAGAATCTGCAAGAGCTCCATCCTCCAATGGCCTGACAACCCCAAGGCAGAAGGCTTGTTTTGGCAAAGTCTGAAAAATGTGGTCTTAACTGAAAATGATTCACGGTATAACAATTTGTACGTTGATTCCATTAAGCAATACTAACTGATGTTATGTAAGTTATGGTTCACCAACATAATACAAACACAAAGAAGTGACCCTTCTGCCTTAGTAACCTATTGCCGCATAACAAATTACCCCAAAACTTAGTGACTTAAAACAACACAATTTGCTATCTCATAGTCTCTGTGGGTCAGGAGTCCAGGTACAGCCTAGCTGGGTTTTCTGCTCGGGGTCTATCAGAGGCTGCAATCTAGGTGTCAGCCAGGGCCATAGGTGTCTCCTGGGGTTAGGATCCACTTCCAAGCTCACACTCATGTGGGTGGTTGTCTTCAGGACTTAGTTCCTTCTGGGCTGTTTTCCAAAGGCTGCTCTCAGTTCCCGGCCACATGGACTTCTCCCACATGGCAGCTGGCTTCACCAAGGTCAACAAGAGAGAGAGTGTGGGCAAGATGGATGTCACCATCTTTTGTTAGCTAACCAGGAAAGTTGATAGCCCATCAATTTGACCATATTCTATTTGTTAGAAGTAGATCACGGGTCCCACCAGCTCAGTAGGAGTGATCACCTCAGTCCAGGGAAACTAGTCTATGACCGAGATGGGCAGTTGGGATGGCTTCAATCAGCCTGCCATCTCAGTCACCGATTGTGAATATCAGGAGGCGGGGATCATTGTAAGCCATTTTAGCAGCTGGCCTACTACAGTAATACCTTGGTTTGCGAGCATAATTTGTTTTGGAAACAAACTACTCATATTGCAAGACATCACTTGTTTACCACATTAAAATGTATTAGAAATGTTTGCTCATCTTGCAGAACACTCGCAAACCACGTTACTAGCAATCCAAGGTTTTATTGTACATCTTCTTTTCACTAAGAACTTTTGAAACTGCAACTGATGTTAAGTTGCTGTTTAAACTTATCACGTATCCATGGCTACATGATTATATTATGCTGTGGTTGCATTAGTCTTTCTTTTAGAATTACTTTTATAAATATTGGCTATAGTATTTGACTTCTAAGATTTAGGTGCTGTTTAAAGGCTGAGATAGATAGCTTTTTTTAAGTGTTTATTTTTTTTTACTTCTTAACCATTTTTTAGAGTATACAGCTAAATTAGAAAGATTTAGAGTATCAATTGGCATTGCTGCAAATCTTGAATGATTAAAAATGCTTCATTTCACATGATGAGCATATGTAAATATACAGTAGGGAAATAGATCTATAATATAAAAGAAATTTCCACCTACACTGGCTTTTTTGAGAATACTTTTCTAAAATTTTTGGTAGAAATCACAGGGGAAACAGTTTTCATAAAGTTTGTACATTCATATGATTAACAGAGAAATTAAGTCTCTATTTACTTTCTACTTAGAAGACAAAGTCAGAATGCCTACCTGTTGGCACCCTTTCTGCTTTTCTCCCAAATGAAACAACTTCACCTTTGCTGTCCGGTTGGTTCCTCTGTATCAGTCCATAGCATCCTTTGTCCAGTATAGGTATGAATCCTGAAGAGGCACCTATGAATTTACCTGGGAATAACTGGAAATTATTCAAGCATAATAAAATAAAGTCCCTTCAGAATGATAAGATGAAAAATCTCCAAGGTACCATCCCTCCTTAAGTACAGTCTCTTATGAATCTTGCAGAATGAGTTATCTTTAAATATATGTTTATAAGAAACTAAATGGTATGTCATAATGTTATTTAATACAGACAAAGTCGAAATCAGTACTGTTGCCAAGGACTATTTTACCTGTGTGACATTGAACCCTGTTTTGTGACCATGATGTTTACAGGGCGATATTTATGCTGGTGTTTGTTGAGGCAAGGGGACAAATATCTTGATGCCACATTAATTTGTTGTCTGGTAGAAGCTCATTCCTATGTTTCCTGATTGTTTTGGTAAGGTAAAAATGTGTATTTTTCAGTAGCACTAGTAATTAGTGATCTATGTTAAGGTCACACACTGTGGCAGTGTTCTGTTGACAGATCAAATGTTAATGAAAGTCACAAACAGTTTTACCTTCTTCTTAGCAAATATCTTCATAAAGGAAGATAGTGAAATCAGTGGTTAATATTTGTTTCTGAAACTCACTTATTCCTCATTTAAGATACTGGTATGGGAAAAATCAGACTTATAATTTGTTACAGAGAAAGCCAGCATTGTTCTGTTTTATGTTATTTTAAAATGAATATATGCTAATACCTGCATATAAGTTTTTAAAAATTCAAATTTTACAAAAGGATGTAAAATAAAATTTAAATCGCTCTTCCAACACAACTTCCTACAGAAAATCACAATTAAAGATTCTTGTGTACTCTTTTATATTATGTACAAAGGCTTAGCTGCTATAACAAAGAAACCCAACAATATAGAAGTTTATTTCTCTATCCCATATGTGATGGCCTGAATATTTGTGTCCTCCCAAAGTTCATATGTTGAAACCTAACCCCAAGGTGATGGTATTAGGAGGTGGACCTTTGAGAGGTGATTAGGTCATAAGAGCAGAACCCTCACAGTAGGACTACTGCCCTTATAGAACTGGCCCAAGAACGCTCCCTTGCTTTTTTGCCATGGGGCATTACAGCAAAAATACGGCTGTCTACAAAGTAGGCTGTCACCAGACACTGAATCTGCCAGCACCATGATCTTGGACTTCCAGCCTTCAGAATTGTGAGAAATAAATGTTTGTTGTTTATAAGCCCTGCAAGTCTCTGGTATTTTGTGATAGCAGCCTGAATGAACTAAGACACATAACAGTTCCAATGAGAATAGTTTAGGTTGGCAGGACAGCTCTGCTCTCCATGGCCATTCAAGATCCCGTGTTCTTGTTGCTCTGCTGTCCTCTGGGGAAGTGGCATCATCTGCATGGTCCAGGCTAAGTCACCACTACAGTTGGGTTCCACCTGGAGGCAAGAAAAAAAAATAACAAGGAAAAAACTCAGACCAGTGTCTTAAGGCCTAGACTTAACAGTGGCACACATCTTCTGCCCACCTTCAGTTAGTGAAGACCTATTTGATCCCACGCAACTGCAAGACATGCTGGGAAATAAGCCCAGCAAAAAGCCTATAACTACAGAAGAAAGGGAGAAGAGATTTTTGTAGAAGCTAGCAGTCTCTGCTACAACTTCTAGAAGTTTTCAGTCTGCACATCTAAGCCTTCAATTGCTCATTTACTATAAAGGAGCAGACTTTATAAGAGTGTTCAACATTTTGTTCTTTTTACTTAATATTTTTCAGAGTGTATATTTTTCTTTTTTAAATTTTTATTAGAAACTTTATTGAGGAACAGTGTTTTTGTAGGACCCATCAGCTGCAAGTCAAGTAGTTGTTTCAATCTAGGTGTGTGTGGGGGGGTGCAGCTCCGTGGCTCATGTGGGGATCGAACCAGCAACCTTGGTGTTATGAGCACTGCGCTCTAATCACCTGAGCTAACTGATTGCCCCTATTTTTCTTTTTAATGGCTGTATATTACTGCCTTATATGAATGTACCATAAAGTATTTTCCCAGTCCTTTATTGCTGAACATTTCAATAACTTCTAATCTTTTGGAATTACAAATAATTCTATAATACTTATGTCCTCAGGTTCACATATACATATGTCTGCACAATAAAATAAGTTTAGTGCAGTGATACTCACAGTGGTCTGCAGACCTATGACTAGATGTTCCTGATTTGTGATGAGGTAAATACAGAATTTGAGAGTTTCCAATTTGACATGGCCATCATGTTCATGATGGTTCATGGTTCGTGACAGGTTGGACATTTTTTAAAATGTGATCTTTTGCCACAGATGGTTTGAGGAACACAGGCCTAGAAGTGGGATTACTGGGTCAAAGAACTCATATATTTTAAATGTTTATAGATACTGCCCAGTCGTCCTGCAAAGCTCAAATGTATACTTCCACCAAGAGTCTTATCAGAAGGATATGAAAAATTAGTCAAAGAAGAGTTGGTGGTTGTTATTCCCCAAAATAAACAGACTGTACTCAGAGTCCATTTTGAGGTTCCTTTCCTTGTTGAGAAATTAGTAAGAGTGATCAATTTGGCATGGACTTGACCCACCAATCAAAATATGTTATAAACCTAGGTGCCTTATAAAATTCTATAGCCCTCCTGGCAGTGTAGGGTCTTTTGGGAAGGGGGGGAGGGTAAGGAAAGCATATTTAGCGTATGTATTGCTTTTATAATACAAATTACACAATGCAAATTTTCATACAATGTTATTGACTGATGGTGATCCACAGAATGAAGAGTGAGAAACTCCATAGAGAGGATTGGTTGAAAATCACTGAGATAAGCTTTACTCAGCTTGATGTGATTAAGCAGCTGAGTAATGACAGGGACAGGGAGCATTATTATATGGTGGCAGGAGTGGAGAAGCCAGAGACAACAAAAATCTGACTTATGTCCATGGCAGGTATTCACTTCATTGCTTCTTCATGTATTCACTTTTTACCCTACCATCTCTGGTCCAGAAAAACAATAGATGCTGGCTCCATAAAGCCTCCCTGATGCTCTTAGAAATCTAATATCTTCTCAGGGAAATGCTAGAGTTTCTTTGCCCTGCAATATACCTTGATATTAGAACTACCAGCTGAACCCAGGGCTTCCCATAGTCCTCAACAAAGGACACGGAAGTTAGAAGAAAGGTAGAGCCTTTTCATGGGAGAAGAATCCATCAGGATGGAGTTTTATCAGTGACCTGGGGAGTCTGACCCAGACAGATCCTCCTCTGCACTCTCAGAACATTTCCCTGCCAAGTGGAGAGGCTCTCTGAGGAATTCTCCACTCTTTTGATGTATTGGACTGTCGGAAAAGTCATGACATTTTCTATGTTTTCTGTTGCAAAAATGCGTCTGACAGCCAAATAGCTTGCTCCTACTCAGATATTCTACACAGTTCATGCAACAAAAACTGAGTGAGCGCACTACAATGTCCGCCAGTTGCCACTGCATCAAAGTGCACGCCTGGGAGTCTTTGGACCAATGGTGACCAGTCTTCGTTTCCCTCTCCAAGACCAGTCCTCAAGACTGGGCCCCAGGTGAGCATGTTTCCTTGGGTTGAAAGAGGGGAAGGAAGGGCCGGCCGAGTGGCTCAGTTGGTTAAGAGCTCACTCAAGAGTGCGGGTTCTGAGCAACAAGGTCGCCGGTTCACTTCCTGGCCAGAGCTGAGCTGCCGATCAGCTGCCCACAGGTGTCAGGATGGCTTAACTAAAAAAGAAAAAGAAAAAAGAAAAAAGAAAGAGAGGAAGGAAGAGAGGGCATGTGAAGGACTCTCTGGAAGGTCTACCAGGCCTCCATGCTTCAGCTAGTCCTGCCACAGTACTTGAAGCCATTCACACATTGCTCATTGCTATGTGCTAAAGGAGCCAAGTTAAGTCATTAACACTTTAGCTATAATTAGATCTTCAGACCCCTTCTACTGAGAAAGAATAGGTCTCACGTTCCAAACTTCTTTTATCTTTTACAAGGCTCCACCCTCCCCTCTCACCAACTTGAGAATATAAAATGATCAAGCCTGGGATATTTCATTTATCATCTCATCTATCTTCCTCTTCCTTTTTTTTTGTCAATTGATTTTTTAATCAAATTTCCAAGATATTTCAAGCAGGTACAAATGAATATCCATAATATCTTCCTCTTTAATTAAAAATGTACGCTTAATGGACAAAAGTTTTTTGCACAGCTAATATGTCTTGAATCTTAAGGTGAGATGTCCATATAATAATGTATCCATATTATTCAGCTATAAAAAGGAATGAAGTACT